TTTTATTTAAATATTTTAAAATTTAAAAAATATAGATCATAAGCATATTTTTAACAATTTTCCAGACAAATTTGCCTAAAAAAACTTACAGATTAAGGGATAGCATTAATTTTGCTTTGTTTTGTATTTTTAAAACTTACTAGTATATGACCCATCACTTTGCTGATGGTTTATATTATAAAGTTAAGTAATATATTATTAGATAATAACTATTACACTATATTTAAAAACTAATTGTTATATATATTTTAAATCTAACTACTGCACTATGTTTAGAACTTAATTACTATATACATTTTGAATCTAACTATAAAGATATATCTAGAATTTAATTATTATATTATTTTTAGAATCTAATTATTATATTAAATCTAGAATTTAACAACTGTACTATGTCTAGCTTTAATAAATTAAGCTATGTCCAGCCTTAACAATTATAATATGTTTAATTCTAACAATTATGCTATATCTAAAATTTTAATTTCTATAGTTTAGAATCTAAATACCATGCTATGTTAGTTCTAACTATTATATTATGTTAGTTCTAACTACTATAATATATCTAATCTAACTTAAAATATGTGTTATGCATATTATATTTGTTGTGTTAAAATTATATATTACATAATCTGTAAGTAGAAATTTACTATTACTATGTAATTTTCATTATTCAGACTAATCTGGAAGGTATTTAAATTATTTATATAGGGTAAACTAAACATGACATGTAATATTTTAATTGGTGGTCCATCAATCAATCAGAGAATGATCATAGTATAACATGATGCAAATCACTTATAGAAATTAGAAGTTTATAAATGTGCTTGCATATATCTAAAACTTTTTTTATACTAAGTTAATCACCTTTTTCATTTAGACGAAAGTTGTAGAGTTCATCGAGACGCATCTAATGATGGTTAAATCATCCAAATCGGCCTGGTGGTTGCTGAGATATCGTTAAAAAACGTTACGCCGACTATATAAAATTCTATGTAAACAATACTATTGTTTACATAGAATTTTATATAGTCGGCGTAACGTTTTTTAACGATATCTCAGCAACCACCAGGCCGATTTGGATGATTTAACCATCATTAGATGCGTCTCGATGAACTCTACAACTTTCGTCTAAATGAAAAAGGTGATTAACTTAGTATGAAAAAAGTTTTAGATATATGCAAGCACATTTATAAACTTCTAATTTCTATAAGTGATCTATGATTGGTTATAGTTATATGCACAAACGTTACACAATTATGCAAGGGTCGTCACTTCAGTGTTTTTAAATTATAGATGATTTGATTGGCCAATTATCATGGGAAAATACATGAACATCTTTTCCCCCTGTGGCATTTACCCTAGTAAATTAGATCTGCAGGTTACATATTTAAAGCCAATAAAAATAAAAAATTTATACCAAGTTAGAAGCGATACTTAATATGATCAAAAATGCGGTATTGATAAAGCAAGGAGCCGAAGCAGTAAATATCTAATTCGGTTATTTTGTAATTTGTCAATCAGTATATACATATTTTTTAATCTATATAAAAATAAAATAAAAAAAGCGGGTGTACACGGCGCCTTTCTTGACGCGAACTGCAATTATCAAAGAACGATTTCCCAAAACCTATCGTCATCCAATTCTTGACAATAAACTCACGACACGGCGAGTTATTCAAGTAATCTTCAATCGCCAATGATTGTGGAACTTTTTTTTTAAATAATGGTGTTTATCAATTTATTTTTGTAAAGGAAGCAAGATGTCTTTTCAAATGTTATCGGTCTGGTGTCGATACTCCTATATTATATTTTGTTGATATAGAAAATAATGCAATATACATGGAACTTGTCAAAGGAAAAATACTAAAAGAATTAATCAATGAGATTAGAGAGTGGTCTAGCAGTGAACATGGAGGTTGTTTATAATATTAATTTCATAGAAATTTTAGAAATTTTCTTTTACTCACGTTTTTTTGTTTTATAGAACAACTTACAACAAAGATTGGTATAGCGTTATCAAAAATGCATACAGCTGATGTTATACATGGCGACTTGACAACATCAAATCTTTTGTTAAGGGAATCTAATAATTCATTGGTTTAGTATTTCATACCTTTTATAGAATGCAATGAGAACAATTAAGATAATAATTAAGTTTTATTTAAATCTAGGTTGTTATTGATTTTGGATTAAGTTACATATCATCATTACCAGAGGATAAAGCTGTTGATTTATACGTACTTGAAAAAACTTTTTTGAGCACACATCCAAATTTGGAAGCTATGGTAATACTCTGGAAATTTTGTTATTATGGGATAGAATTATTTTCGAACTTGATTGTTTTTATTACATAGTTTACAGCAATATTGGAAACATATAAAAGTAATTATAAGGCTTCTAAAGACGTTTTAAGTAAACTAGCTGAAGGTATTTATCGATTCCGGTTTAATATATTTTTTTTACATGTTTATATATATATTTTTTAATTCTAACTATTCTAGTTCGCTTGAGAGGGCGTAAGCGAAGTATGGTTGGATAATATTAATTTATAAAGATTGAGAACATAAAAATCTGCAGTTTACAGTTTGTAATCAATTGGTATATTGTTTAAACTTATTCATACGAATTGATAGTTTAATTTTGTAATACTATACATATATTTTAAGTAAACTTTTATATGAGTGCTGCCAAGGAAAAACCTACATTTGAGCTTTCAATTATATTTTGTGTATAGTCAGTATCCTGAGTGCCATCTAAGGAAAATCTATCACCAGGCTTCAAACATATTTTGTAACAAGTAATTACAAATATAATCGATTAAATTTTTTCTAGACGGCAATTAGAAGACAAACTGGTCACAAAATGAAAGCCCGAATGTAGGTTTTCCTTGGCAGCACTCATATGGTAGTTTTTATTAAATTAATTTACTTGATTAATACATATTCGAAAAAATATATTTCAGAAATGACAGGTTCCGATTTTTGGCACCTTTCACGGTAACAACAGAGACATATCAGATACTGACAGAGCTATCAGTAAGCATATCTCAGTTCTGATTATAGTTGGTGGTAGAATTATAGCATTCTACTATGTGGTAGAATTAATTTTACTACAGTACCTGATTGTCGTAATGCCGTAGTCGCAAATCACAGTTTTTTAAAAATCCCGCACGGGATTCACGGAATATAGTAAAGTTTTTTAATTTTTCATGAATTATAAAAATATATATAAAGCTAATTTCTTGTTAAAATAATATACAGTCTACCCTCGTTTATATCAACCCATTTGGATTGGTTTTAAAGTATGTTGATAGGATATTAACGAGAAATTATATTAAAGTTGATATATATGAGGGAATTTTGATATATAAAAATTTATAAAAATTTCATTTGTGGCTTAGGTTGATATTAACGAGGTTGATATTAACGGGGGTCGACTGTATTTTAAATACACTTAGCATTTCAAAATGATGCCAAATCGGTTTATTAACACCTATGTTATAATAATGTTGTTTAAAGAATGACTTAATAATAGTTATATTTATTATAACAAGGAATAGTAAATAAGAACTACCAACGACAAAAAAAAATTTAACCAAGTATACGCATATATATATAGAATGATAAACTAATAAAAGTTCTACGTAGAATGCAGACCAGGGTAAAACAGTCACCCAAAAAAGTTTCGGACGTCACGTGACTAATATATCGAGTACTAAAAATTCATGTAAGAAATCATTTTTCACCGATTTAAACCTTGCGATAATAAATATGTTTATTGAGTTATTCAAAATAAATAAAATTATTAATTTATTACTTATCATTTAAATTTTTTTGTTTGTATTTTTTTGTTAAGCTACATGCTCGATATATTTGTTACGTGACGTTTGAAACTTTTTTGGGTGGCGATTTTACCCCAGTCTTAGAAATTGGCCCATTAATGTTAATGCAGGCCAGATGATATTTATGCAGGCCAGATGATATGCTAATGCAGGCCAAATAATCTTCTCATATAAAAAATCCCGTGCGGAATCCAAAAAAAACCACGTGTGGCCCATTACTGTAAAAACTTAACTATTACATCAACTTTCACAGTAAATTCTCAATTTAATTGATTAACAATTATAATTTATTTTTTATTTTTATTTTTTTTAAACTTAAGTAGTTACACTAGTACTTTATTAAGATTTTCGGAATTACATTAGCAATTATATAGATGTTTTTAATAATTAAGTTTAGCATTACTCAACTACCTAAACAGTACCTAAGTGTAACTTGTCATATTACTTCAAACATGTTGAGATAAGTTGTTCATTTAACTACTTAAAGTTCAAAAAAAAAAAGCTTCTCTCTTTTATAACAAGTTTTAGTAATGTCTTTCTTGTTTCTTTTCTGGTTTATAAATTCTTTTTTTCTTGAGTTTGTTATTTGATTTTGCTATTAGTGTCTTGTGTATTATATAAAATTACTTTAGTTATTTTAGTTAATACTGTTTTATAATGTTTGTTTAGTATTTTTTTATAGTGTTGTTGTATTTATTTTGGTATGTTTTAGTCATTATCATTTAGATAGAAAGTCTTATATTGGTTTTAAAAGTGGTAGTAGTTGTAGAATATAGTTTGGAATTTTTGAAATTTCAAAGTATTGTCTAAGTATCATTAATATAGATGTAATGTCTGCTTGTTGTATAACTGATAAGTTAATATATATTTTATCTGTTTTGTCTTTAAGTATTTTTTATAATTGAATCAATATTGATAGAATTGTTAGTTTATTTGTTGCATTAGGTTGAGCATTTATTTTTTACTGTTTATTTAGTATTTTAATCTAGTATATTAATATTTAATTAAAGTAATAATGTTTATAAAGTAGTCTAGTTGTATCTATTAGTATTCTAAAAGATGTAATCAATATAGTAATATTGTATTTTATAATTTTTGTATTATTATTTAAAAGTCATAATTTATTTATTAAATTAGCAATTATTACTTCTTTGCTTATATAAAACAGTATTTTGTATTTTATTTTTGTCTGATTTAGAAATTTTTTTACTATTTTATTATCAGTTATAAAATAGTTAAATTGAGTTTTGAGTTTTATATTTTATATATCTTTTGGTAATAATAGTTTTTATACAAAAAATTTATTTGATAACAATTTAAATTTATAGTGTTCTTTTAATAAGTCTATTATTTTCTAAAAGTTGTATTTTTTTTGATATATTGTTTTTTTTTTTTTTTTTTTTTTTTTTTTTGTTAAGGCCATACTTGTGATAATACTTTATTGACTTTATATCAAGTTAGTTATTACAACTATTTTTACAGAGATGAAAGTATAGCTAGTTATGCATGCAACTTTTGGTTGCCTATTTAAGTAGTCTGTCCTAAGGTTCTATACTAGATGCTGTACCTATAACCTACTAGGAGATTATCTATTTAAACTCTCTGATCATCTGCTCTGTCATATTAGAATCCCCAGATATATTGTTACAAAGTAGATTTTAGCATAATATATTATATAGTAGTATTAGTAATTATATATATATTCATTATTGTATTTTATATTATATTTATTATTAGTTATTAGTTATTAGTTAGTTAATAGTTATATTATATAGTAGATAAATAAAAGGATCTTAATTGGTTATTAGAAATGTGATATAGCTATATGATACTAAGTAATATTTGTGATATTACTATTATCTTACAAACTCCAAGTATCTCTGTACAAGTTTCATATATGCTAGCACCAAATTACTATGCCAAATGCTATAGCACAAGAATTCCAAGTATCCCTAACATAAACTTCAAGTGTCTCTGCATAAACCTCAAATACTCTTGCACAAATCTCAAATGTCTTTGCACAGATCTAAGTGCCTAAACACAAGCCCCAAGTGTTTTAAGCATAAATGACAAATAATATAAACAATTGTTACAAAGTAGATTTTAGCATAGTATATTATTAATAGTCATATATATATATTTATTATTGTATTTATATTTTATATTTATTATTAGTTATTAGTTATTAGTCATTAGTTAGTTGATAGTTATATTATATAATAGATAGATAAAAGGATCTTAATTGGCTATTAGAAATGTGGTACAGCCATATGACACCAAGTAACATCTGTGATGTTACTATCGTTTTACAAACTCCAAGTACCCTTGTACAAGTTTTATGTATCCTAGCACCAAATTACTGTGCCAAGTGCCGCAGCACAGGAATCTTAAGTATTCCTAACATGAACTTCAAGTGTCCTCGCACGAACCCCAAGTATCCTTGCACAAATCCCAAATGCCTCTGCACGGATCCAAGTGTCTAAACACAAGCCCCAAGTGTTTCAAGCACAAATGACAAATAGCATAAACAATATCTCTAGTTGCCCCCATACAGTTCCCACTATCCCCAAGGCACAGTAGCATTAATGTTGTTCGAACCTTCATTGTCCCAAATACAATGATATCTAATATTGTTCGAACCTTCATTACCCCAAGTACAGTATCAAGTAATGTTGCTTGAATGCCCACTATCTCTGCTAGGTAAAAAAATATATAAAGGGTAGCTTTCATCCTTCCCTGCCAATTCTAAGTTCCTATACTTCAACTTAGACCCTTCTACCTTTACTCCTAACTTGTAATTGTGATATTC